TCTCGGGGAGCCCAAAGAGCTAGACATGGAGCTACGACTCCAAACCGGCCCAGACCTCTCGAAGACGACCCACTTACCCTACCATGCATCGCGCACCCTCTCGCGATCATTGCCCAGCTCGACATCCGTCTGTGCAAATAGAAAGGATATCTACGCCATGGTTAGGGATGGGAGGGGGGTAGGACGTCAGATATGACGCGAGTGCACCTAGCTTAGCCATCCCCCCCCTCCCCCTCGTCCGTCCGCCACCCCGCCCCGCGCGCTTGTCTCCGTAGCCAGTTTGGCTCATGCCTTTCCGTAGGCCCCCCCTCCTGGACCCTGCCCCTCGGCGTACCCTGCGACCCCAGTTTCACGGGGCAACGCGGCGGGCGTGAGAGACGGGGGGGAGGGGGACTTTGGGCTGGCGGAGTGATGGCAGCGGGACGCACTCCATGCGGTGGCGCCATAGGCTCGACTCGTGCATCGCGGAGGTCACGTGCGAGCGAGCACGCACGCTTTTCTGCAGATCGGCTCATCTCTCGGCTCCAGGCAGACCTGGATGCGGCTGTGCAGGACAGGAACGAGGTGCTGCAGGTCCTCGAGATGCTCGTCGGCGACGAGGCCGTCTTGCAGAGGGTCCTCGCGGGCCTCCCCGCCCTGGCCGCCCTGGTCGCGGGCCGCATCCCCAGCTTCGAGGACAAGCACAGGCGCAACGTCGCCTGGCACGCCGAGGCGGAAGGCCTTGACGTTCGGCGCTGCCTGGTGGCCGACCTCAAGCGGGCCCAGCGCAGCCCCCGTTTGAGAGCGCGGTCACCTCCGGACCCGATCCTCGACACAGTCGGGTTGGCTGTTCCTTCGCTCGCTGTGTCGCCGTTCGATTTCGCGATGGTTGTCGATGCCCCCGATTTCGTGCCGAAGCTCGGTCACTACCCCATCGAGCTCGTCAAGGAGGAGCCTGGGATGCGATACACCTGCGGGGCATTGGTCTTCTCTTCGTGCTCTTCGTGTTCAGACTTCTCTGATGGGCCTGGCCTCTCTTCATCCCGAGCTGTACGTGACGTGCGTCATGAGACAGAGCAGCACGCTGGCGCAGCAGGCGGTTTTCCTCCTTATGGCCATCGTGCCTCCTCCAGGGCGTCGGCGTGGTGGCAAGCTCGCCAGGTTATCGAAAGGAAATGGCTTCGCGGTGCTCCTGTTCGACCGCTCTGGCAGCCTATCGGCCAGCCCCCCGACCCTGGTGAAGGTCGGCTCTTCTCGTGATTTTCTGTGAACCTGCTGCTCGGTGTATTTAGCTTACAGCATGTCCCACAGTTCCTGCAATGTGGTGAAGCCGTGGAGGTCAAAAAAAGCCCCGCGCGCTTGTCGTTCATCTGTCGTCCGTCGTGTCGTGTCGTCCCCCTGCTCTCTGCCACTGGGCTCCCGTTCGCTGGTTAAAAAAACGGCAAAAAAGTGTCACACAGAAAACCGCGTAAGGACAACCAAGCGTTTCACTTGCATGCTGAGGGCGTACATGGGGCCATGTAGTATAAGAAAGGGCCACGCTGACACGTGTCACCCCGAAAATCGTGTGATACGAACAAAGCATATCACTTTTAGTATGAGAGCAAGCATGGGGCCATGCTATATAAGGAAGCACCAGGGTGACAGGTGTCACCCCGAGAACCGTGCGAGCAAACAACGCAGTTCACCGATACTGAGGCCGAACATGCGGGCATGCAGTATAAACAGCACCACGGTGGCACGTGTACCATTTCACTTGTATGCTGAGGGCCAACAATAGGGTATGCCGTAAAAGAATACACTGGGGTGGCACGTCTCACCGCGAAAAACGTGCGCACTTGTATGTTACGGGCCAACATCGGGCCATGCAAAAGAAGAAAGCACCAGGGTGACAAGGCGACACTCCCAAAAGCGTGCGATAAAAGAAACCATTCGTTTCACTTGTGCTCTGAAGGCCACCATGGGACCATGCAATATAAGAAAACACCAAGGTGGCACGTGTAGAGTTTCACTTAAAATTATGGACAGCATGGGGCCATGCAATATCTCAAAGAGAACGCGTTTCACGGGCGCTCGCCTTGGGAACATTCGGCGGCGCGTTTCGAAACAGGGGGGCCCCCCCCAACACTCGGCGCCGTCGATCAAAACCAGGGGGCCTCCCCTCCCCCCTAACCCCCCCCTCCCGAACCAGGGGGGGTTCAAAACCTCCCGCCCCCCCCCCTCGGCGCCGGCGCCGACGCTGGCGGCCGCCAGCAGCGCCCATGGCGGGGACACGCAGCGACGATGACCAGAGGCAGCCCAGGGGGGGGGGATTCAACCCCCCCCCCATCTGGCGCCGAGGGTGGGGGGAGTGTTTCAAACCCCCCTCCCTCGCGCCGGCGCTGGCGCTGGCGGCGGCCAGCAACGCCGGCGCTGGCGCCGGCGACGGCGGGGACGCAGCGACGCTTACCACCACTACCACCACCATCACCACTACCACCACCACCACCGCCTCAACCCACCACCACCACCACCACTAACAGCACCACACAACAACCGCCACCACAACCACCACCACCACAACCACCACCAGAAGTCACCATCACCACCACCACCACAAAAACCCAGCACCACTACCACCACCACCACCACAATCTACCACACCACCACCACCACCACCGCCACAACCACCACCAGAGCAGCACAACCCACCGCAACCACCACAAACCACCACACCACCACCACCACCACCGCCACCACCACGACCAACACAACTAACGTCCACAAACCACCGCCACCACCACAACCCACCACCACCACCACAACCACAAACCACCACCACACCACCACCACACCACCACAACCACCACCACCACCAGAACTCACCATCACCACCACCACAAAAACCCACCACATCTGCCACCACCACCACCACCACGATCTACCACACCACCACCACCACCACCACCGCCACAACCACCACCACTACCAGCAGCACAACCCACCACCACCACAAACCACCACACCACCACCACCACCACCGCCACCACCACCACCACTAGCACCACCTCCACAAACCACCGCCACAACCACAACCCACCACCACCACCACTACAAACCACCACCACACCACCACCAAACCACCACCACCACCACCACCACTACAACCCACCACCACCACCACCACCACTACAAACCACCGCCACACCACCACCAAACCGCCATCACCACCACCACCACCACCCACCGCCACAACCAGCACCACCACAACAAACCACCACACCACCACCACCACCACAACCACCACCGCCACCACCACCACCACCACCAACCACCACCACCGTCGTCCTCGTCGACGCTCCCCGCCACCGCCGCCCGCCGCCGCAGGCGCCGGCGTCGGCCCAGAAATGGAAATCGTCGTCCCCGCCGCCGTCGCCAGCCGCCGCCGACGCAAGCGCCAGCCCGAGGAGGGGGAAGCAGGGAGGGGAAAAGGGGGAGGGGGGTTCGAAACCTCTCCCCCCCCGTCACTGGAGGGCGGGGGGGGTCAACCTGGTGCTTTCTTATACTATATGGCCCCATGTACGCTCTCAGCATGCAAGTGAAACACTTGTTTTCTCTCACACAATTTTTGTGGTGACATGTGCCACCCGGGTGCTTTCTGATATTGGAAAGAGCGCGTTCTGTGGTCGCTTGGAGGGGGGGGTGAAACCGGACCCCCCCCCCGCCCCCCCTGGATGGAGGGGGGGGGTTCGAACCCCGTGTCACCCCGAAAACCGTGTGATATCAACAAAATGTGTCACTTTGACTTCGAGAGCCAGCATGGGACCATGCAGTATAAGAACGCACCAGGGTGACATGCGTCACCCCGACAAACCTGTGATACACACCAAGTTGTTCACTTGTATGCTGAGAGCTAATTAGCATGGAATCATGCAATAGAATACCTAGGTGGCACACGATACCCCCGAAAACGGTGTGACAAAAACAAGCGCCATGCAATATAAGAAAGCACCAGAATTTGGCGTGTCACCCCGAAAACCGTGTGAGAAAAAACAACTGCATCCGAATGACACCTGTCACCCCGAGAAACGTGTGAGAAAGACTACCAGTTTCACGTGTACTCTGAGGGCCAACATGGGGCCGTGCAGTATAAGAAAACACCAGGGTAACACGCGTCACCACGAGAATCGTGCGAAAAAACACTGGTGTCACTTGTATTCTGAGGGCCAACATGGGGCCATGCACTATTAGAGAACACCAAAGTGTCACGTATCACCCCGAAAACCGCGTGCGACAAACCAATTGTCTCACTTGCAGTCAGAGGGCCAATGTGGGGCTACGCAATGTAAGAAAGTACCAGGATGGCACGTGTCAACCCGAAAACCGCGCGAACAACAAACAACGTCTTTCTCGGGTTCTGCAGGACAACATTGGACTATGCGATTTAAGAAAACAGCAGGGTGACACGTGTCGATCCGAAAACCGTGCGAAACAAATAATGCATGTTTGTGCTAAGGGCGAATATGGGACCATGCCGTACTAGGAAGCACCAGGGTAACATGTGTCACCCCGAAGACTGTGTCACTTGTGTTCGGAGGGGCGGCACGGGGCCAAGGAGTATATGAAAGCACCAAGGTGACACATGTCACCCCGAAAACAATGTGAGATAAAACCGATTGCTTCACTTGTAGTCTGAGGGGCACCATGGGGTCATGCAAAAGAAGAAAGCACCATGGTAACACGCGTCACCAAGAAGCACAGGTGGGAAAAAATTAGCCTGGCGAAGGACCCAACCATAGGCAGTTGTGAGCGCCGCAGTACGAGGCCCATGTCCCAGGAAGCATGGGCACGCCCCCAACAAGCGGCAACTCGGGCCCCCGGAAAGCTCGTCGAGCTCGAGCCAGGGGGCAGCCCAGAAAGCAAGACAAGAACATGAGGACGACAGGCATCCCGAACCACGACAAAGCGTGAAGGGTTCGCGCGACCCGACACTGATGGGGGTGGCCCGAGAAGAACCTGCGCGAGATCGGGCCGGCAGCCGCCTCTTGAAAGCGTAGTACACCAAGAACACGATGATGGTCACGATGACAGCTGGGCAGCGAGAGCCAGGCAGACAACAGCACGAGCGGTACAGAAGGAGGAGAAGCGGCGGCAACAACAGCAGCAGCAGGAGGCTGACGTGGAGAAGAAATGAAGGAGGGAGGGAGGGAGAGATGGACAGGAGAGCGAGTCTGGACGGGGGAGATCGCAGCAATCAAACTCGCCTGGCGCTGAGCCACAGGAATTGACTGAATGGCAGCGACGCAAAACAAAGAAAACTTTTAGACGAGGTAGTATAACAATCCGCAGTTATACCTGGCGCGGGAGACTCTACTGTCGAAGACACACAAACCGCCGCCGCGGAGATCCCAGAAGAGCCTGGTGTTCACGATGCTGGGCCCGACCTCGCCCCTGTTGGGGCGCCAATACCGCCGCCTGCAGATGACGCAGCCGCGGTTGTTCTCGATGGATTCAAAACTTCAGCTGGACTTGCTGTTTCTCGACATGGACTCCGAGGAAAGTGTTCGCACCACCATTCAACGGCCGCAGCTTACGGCGGAAGCACGTTGCACAGCTACTAGGTCATGTCTTCGGCACAGGATGCAGCTCACGACCATGGCGCTGGCCCTGTCCCTTTGGCTGACGCCCCTAAGGCCGAGCACAGCGGCGACGAAGTCGATATTGCTGTCCCGCATGCCCCTGCGGCGGCTCCGGTCGACTCGCGTCCGAATGCCTTTCCAGGAGCGGTTCTCGAGCAATGCAGTGTCTGGTTGGAGCGTGCTGCAGCCCTGACGGAGTCAAGCATGGGCACTCCTTTGGAATCGCACGTGATCGATGGCATCACGAGGGGCCTTCTTACGAGACTAATTGTGCCTAGCCTTAAGGATCGGCCCATACGTGAACTGACGATGGGAGACATGTTGAATCGACGCAATGTTGAAGTAATACAGGCTATGGAAGGGATGAAGACATTGCATGCACGAGTGCATTGATGTATGAGCGTGATGCAGCCCAAATGCTTCGACAACACAGTATCGACGATCTTTCGCGTCGAGGTAAGCTCGGTTACTGCACGCACATCATCCAATACGATTGCACGTCGCTCAAGACGACTACCAAAGACTTTGAGGATCTAGGACCATCGATTTGCGATACCGTTGAGCCCGACGTCGTGGTTGTGAGGCAGATTGGTGTTTCGAAGTTTGCCCTGGCAACCACTCGGAGCTGCAATTACAAGCTGATGCAGACCCACTAACCCATCGACGTGGTGATGCAGAGGGGAAACCATGTCCTCCGCATCAATGTGAAGATTCCAGCTTGGATGCAGGCTGTTCCTCGTGCGACTGGGGAGGTCTAGTTCCGAGCAGTGGCAGCAACAAACCCGAGGTTCGACGATATCGCTAGCAACGCGTTGTCTGCACGGATGCCGATGGAGCAGTGGAACGAGCTGAGCGAGGGATCGCACAGACAATTGTATATTTGAGGGTTAAGTGCGAGATGCATCGCGTCAGCGGCTCGATGAAGGAAGTGCTTAAGCCTATGGAGCCGACGGTCAGTGCCAACATCAACTTCAGCCTCACGCTCTCCAGCGCGACATCAATGCAGGACTTACAAACATGCATCGGGCATGTTCTCTCAGATAGTCGGTTCGAGTATGTATGCGGTCGCCCAGGGGGCGCCACAGACATTCAAATGAATAATGTCTAGATTTGTTCTGCGAGACGACGAGTGTCTCAAGTGTTCAATGCCGATCTTCCCTTCTGCGATTCTTCAACGACAAATGGGATTAGCCTCAAGTGCGTCATATTTGCAACGGGTGCTGCGCTGGCCCAGGGAGCGCTCTGAAGAAAGCTTGTGCTTTAGTGTGCTGCATGGTGATGGGAGACGAACCTCCGACCTGGCCTCGCCACGAGTGGTTGGGCGCTTCCTAATCGGTCAACTACATCGGTCTGGCACTATCGATCCATCCACCGTTGTTCAAGGGCGCGTACCTCAGATGGGCAAGTTCCGAGCCAAAGGGTGGCTCTTTGTTGACAAGGCTAAGCCAGTACGGCATGTGTAGTGGAACTCCCAGTTCCAGCGTGGGCCCGAATGCCAGCAAGATCAGAGATGGCCTCGCCGAGAAGTTCAAGAGAAGGACAGTTGTCGGCCTCGCAGCCCAGGCATCTTGCCAAACCCTTCCAGCCATCGAAGATCGACATCCCAGGACGGAGGACGCGGAGAAGGCAAATGTTGGAAAAGGGCCAGGGATATCGCGCCATGCATTAGAAGCATCTTTGAGGTGGGTTGTTTTGGGCTACCCTCTTCCGGGACTGATCCTGTCGAAACGCACCATAGCGCCCTTCGAGGCGATGCTGCTTGACTACATAGATACGTCGGGCGAGGAACGGAAACGTCGTCAAATGCACTTGGCAGCTGCAGGGGAACGCCGAGAGCACGCAGTCCTCGAACAAGCCTTGCACAAGACGCCTCAGAAGGATCAGAGAGCTGTTTACCAACAGAGGCAGGCGGAGTATAACCAATAGTTTTTGTTTCGGGTTGTCCTGTTGAAAGGTTTGGTTTCTTTAGATATGTTGTTTACAGGGGTTCGTTCACGAGTGTCTAGGGGGGGGTCCCTGAGGCCTCTTCCCTGCGATCTGGGAGGCAGGGGTGATGCGTGACGCTGTTGGTGGAATTCTCTAGTCTCCTCAGGTGGGTGTGCATGCCATCAGAGTTTCACATTTGCGCAATGCGAGCTCGTATATTCTGCATGTTAGCTGAAGCGTCCTGCAGCGCGTACAACTTGAAAAGGCTGCACCAGAACTACCAATTCAAAACGTCTCTGATTTTGGACTCTGCCGATTGTGTACCTGGAGCTTGCAGGGAAGAGGAATGCAGGCTCGACGAATGGACACTGCACTACATTGCACATTATCGCACCAAGCTGGAGAACGACCCAAGGGACATCACTGCAATCGCCGACCTGATCAGCACAGCCATGGATGTGGAGGTAGAGTCAGTGGCAGTGGAGGTGGGTAATACAGCAGTTCGGAGGTGTCTTGGCTAACTCTCGCACCATTGCAAAACGGCCAAATTGGAGCAAGCATCTGCCAGGTGGGCTCTGGGAAGAGAAATCAAAAACATTGGAGTGCAGCTACGCCGGAGCAGGCGCGCGAGCAGCCACCAGACTTTCGCGCTGCATTGGCGACCCCACGAATCAGAGGACGTTGCCTAAGAAGAGAAAGCGCTGTGGTGGAGGCCTTAGACGGGAACGCGTAAAGAGAACGATGGGGGCAAAAGGAAGACCTTGTCTACGAGCACTTGGGATATCATATCGCCATCTTTCTGCTGCTGAGCGGCAAGCTCTCAGGCGATCTCGAAGCTCGCGGCCCGTCGTCGCCGCGAAGGGGCGAAAAAGCAGTAAATCCGAACGATCCCGTGCCAGCTTGCACAGACGAGGCTTCAAGAGACAACACTTGCTATACGCTCGAAAATCTTGAACGGTGGACGCGCCAAGGCAACAGATATACTGCGAAAGTTCATCCTGATGGCTTTAACTGGGAATTGACTAAGCAATTACTTAGGGCTCATGGCAAGGCCGTGGCGAAGCTTGAGGCCACGTCTGAGGACACGTTCGCCAGTTTCATCGATGGCGACGTTGCGAAGCCTGATGGTCTTTTGTCGGTCTTCGCCGGCCCTGGGCAAGCATCGACACATCCACGCCAGTCAGAGTTCGTGGCGATGCCAGAGACCATCAAATTTGCAGATGATTGTACCTTTCGTCATGCATCCTGGCATCCAATGGACTTGTCTCGTCGAGTCATCAATGCCTTGTCTATCCAGGGTCGCGAGCCCACCACGGTAAAATTTCGGAAAGCTATCAGAAAAATTATGGCCACGGTGGCACACAATGACCCGAGTGTTGTTCCTCCAACTCTTGATTATGTGCAACGGCTTTGCTGGGAGGTTGGTTTTTACGTATGCGGCCCCGGTAATGAATTAGCAACGCGATTCTGGAGATCGTTCTGGAAAGTTGCTCGGTCTGTTTTCAGGGCACACTCCAAGGGGAGAGACGCGCTTAAGTTCGCAAGGATTTGCGCGCTGGTTGTAGGAGATCGGCGAGATGAGCCAGTCGACGGAAGTGGAGGTGAAGAAATGCCGTACTTAGCACACGCAATTACATGGCGTCAGATGGGTGACGTCGACATGGCCAGGTGGACGTGCGCCTTCATGGGCCTGGGGTGCCCCGACATAGACGGCTTCATCGACGGCTCCGTGCAGGAGGGCAACGTGCAGCGCATCGTGAATATTCAGCCGTGGCAGCACCACGACGACAACGGACAGATGAGGCCCTATCTTAACAAGAGGTTGCGGTGGCGCTTCTGTTTCTACTATGTAATATTTACTGGCCACTCGGTCCCAGACTTCGCGCCAACATCAGTTCAAGCTACTCTTCTGCAAGTTCCACGTGGCCCGCCTCAGGCAGTTCTGCACGCGATTTGGGATCGATGGAAGAGAAGGCGCGCAGATCAGAAGCCAGAGAAACCAAGCACGTGGAGTAAAGTGCTGGAGAATGCCGACGTTCCCAAAGCGATCGAGGACGTGAACGGCGAGTCAGATGGCATGGTGGGCACTGGTGGCGCCTCAAGCGTCGGCCACGCTACCAACGAGGACTACGACAGCATCGACGGGCATTATGATGTCGGCGTGGGGCCAGGAGCCGACGTGCTCAAAGGCAGCGATGACGGCTTGCCAGAGTTCAAAGGAGAGGAGGATGATCCACAAGGAGGCGCGCCTGGCGGTGGAGAGGGCGGCGCCGGGGGGGGCGATGGCGGGGACGGGCCTCTTCCACCTGCCCCGCCGCCGCTGCCGCCTCCACCAGGGCCGCCGCCGGGGCCCTCGCCAGCAGGGCACCACCCCGTCCCAGCAGAGTTGTCCTTCTCAATTCCCGGTCTTGGCGAGCTCGCTTGGTATCGCAAGAGGAACGGCTTCTATGCGCACACTGCTGGCACGAGGATCGCAAG